ATCACACAGTATTAAAACTCAATAAATTGCATAGAGAACAATGAAATTGAAGCATAAAATAGAAAATTCTATAAAAAGGAAAATGAATTTCAAGGATTAAAAAGTTAAATTGATTAAATTAAGGAAGAATAATTAGAGTTAGAAAAAGTATTGTAGTCCTTTAATTAATCTAATAGTAGGCATAATAATACTCAAAAGCATTATTATTTTCAAATTCTTATAAGGGTGTAATCTGCTAACTAACAGAAAGGGGAAAAACTTTTGAAGGTGGTTGTTGTTATAGTTTTTGTGAATAAATAATTCCAAAAAATGGGAGAATAATTTTTGCATTCCAATTATGTAGTGGATCATGTTCTGCTCTTGGAATTGGATTTAGAGATATCATAACAAAGATTAATTAAAATATAGGGTTTGGGTGCGAGTATAAAGTTAAACGAAGAATAGATCGTATTTAATACATGCAAATGGCAAAGCCTACTCTCACCACAACAAAGATATAAATGATAAATAATTATCATTCCCTTTTACATCTAATGATATAATTATAATTGAAGTCAGTATTGGATACAATTTTATCAAATGGACAAAATAAAATAATAAATCTTTAACATTTGTATAAATTAATTCCATAATAATAAGTATTTGTTAAATTTGAAATGATATATATGCTATAAAATTGATTAGTGATGAAATGAATTTTTAATCATCTTATCTAAAATTTATGATGAAGTAATCAAAGATTGATAATTTTAGACATTAACATTAAGATATTAGTATTTACTCTATTTTCATCATAATATCTGTTAAAATTTTTTGAAACATTCTAATTAGATAAGTGTATTAAAAGTTGTGGAAACAGAATATTTTTACAAATTTGAAGAATGAATATCAGGCTGTAACATTAAAAAAACTTTTGAAGTAAAAATAAAACATTTACGTATAAATTTAGTTAAAAATTTAATGTCTAATTGGGTTAAACTCAAAGTAATAGATTAGAACATTTTTGTTATTTTTTAATATTATCCATTATGCCAATCTTGAGTAATTTCTTAATTTCAAAAACTTAAGATCAAATATTAGCACTTTTATAAGTTAGTTAAATTAATTATCTGAATAGACTGGAAGTGATGCTATTGATACAGTGTTTGGATTGTTGAATGATTTGAAATAATCAAATATCGATGCTTAATTCGCAGCAGATTAAAAGAATGAAACAGATGAATGGGTTCGTGCTTAGTAAATATAATTAATTAAATTTTAAGACAATTGAATAATTCACTAAAATCAAAGCCTTGAATTAAAAATTATTCTAACAAGCCTTTGAAAATAGAGCTGAATACGAATAAGTTTTATAATAACCAAAAATTATTGGCTTGGAATGAAGCCAGAAGAGATTCAATTGCAGCTAAAATTGAAACATTATAAGATAACTAATGCTTCAGCAATCAATTATTTGTCAAATCCATTAAACACAACTAAGAAGTTCTTGAAGTTATCAAACTACTTAAATAAGATGTTGCGGGTATATTATAAATGGAGATTCATTTGAATTTACACAAATTCAAGCTCAATCAGTTGCTGAAAAATTAAAGTAATACAGCAATTAAATAAAATCATTCTTAGCTTTAGCTTAAGAATAATAAGTAAATTATTAAAATATTCAAGGAATAATCATCTGGAAATGGATCAAAATGGATCAACATGGCTGAAAAAGTATTGGATGTTCTTGAAGGATTAGAAAGTGAATTAGAAGCATCATTAGAAAATTTGAAATAAATGAAATTAATGCATCTTGGGAAAATTGGCTGGATGGGTTTCATTATCTGAAGCTGAAATAACAAGTTTGGAAGTAGAATATGAAAGAAAATAAGTATTTGCTGATAGAACTGCTACTGTATATATAATATTAATGAAATTAGTAAGTTCAAGATGCTCTAGCTTAATAAGCAAAATCTAAGATTATTTTGTAAGAATCATAAGATGCCTTAGATTAAGCATAAGCTGATTTGGAATCCAAGAGAGCTGATTATGAAGAAGCAAAGGCTAAGAGAAATGAAGAGAATGCCATTTTGGATGAGGTCATCATCATGTTCAAGAAATAAGTCGCTTCATGGTCTGGAAGATGATATTAATAATAGATATTCACCAAATAAATTTCACATATTCATTTCTAACATTTCAATTTTAATTTTTTCAATTACAGTTTCAAACAAAGAAACCATTTCTTATTCAGTAGTTTCTCTTTCTTTTCTATTTCGCTTCAATAATTCAGTAATTCTAAATTGCACTTCTCGTAAACTTTCAACTATGTCTTCCTCTTTGGTTTCTCTTTCTTTTCTCTCTCTATAATAGTCATTAGATTTGATAATACCTATCAAATAATTCTCTTAGGTCTGATATTTACTCCATAAATTAATGGTATATTCTTTCCTCAACCTCTCTTCTTTCGTCAGTTTCATTTTAAAGATCATCAGCAATCTTTGGTAAATCTTCATTTAGATACATATCCACATATTTATTTGATTCCAAAAGTTCAACTCCTTATCTATTCACATCTTAGGATATGAAATCTATTTATTAACTAATTGCATAAGTTAATTTCTTCTCTTAATCGACTCTCTCCTTTTAACTAGTTTGTAATAATCTTTTTGCATGTCTTTCCAAATCGACACTCATTTTTTAAGTTTCTTATTCTTATCTCACTCGACGAATTTTCAAATTAATAGTACTTAT